AGTCACGCTGGTTACTTTGTGAAATACCTTGGTATATAGATGAGCGTTCAGTCTGCAATCTCAGTTTTCTGAGCCAATTGCACATGACTTTTAGTGTCAGATATTAGTCTTTGTTTCGTCAATCACACTGTTAGATTTAGCCTAACCAGTGGCGGCGGAACGTCAGATATTTAAGCAAGTTTATTCAGTTTTGTAGCGGGTTATTCATGGCTTGTGCGATTATTTGTTGTGGTTTCCATGGCGACAGTCGCGGCCATTGAATGCTATCATTGGCTATGCTTACTTCCGCATAATTTTAAAGTCTGGATTACAACTATAAATATCTTGGTTTTAGTGTACATTTAAGTTTGTTGTAATAGATGGTCTGTTTTTTGCCTGGAAGCCTTCTATCATTGCATCTCAAGTTATGAGTAATTAGATGAGATTTATTTGCCGGGTCAAGATTGCATTAGTTTTACAATGAACACTGTGTGCAATCTGGGTTAAATATTAATCACATACACAGCTACCGGTACCAACACGCATAACACACATTAAGCAGGGGTCATTTTGTCTGTGATGATTGATGTCAGTAAACTACATACGCATCGCATTAATCTATAAAATCTTTTAATGTCGTTTTTATTTGAAACCATGAGAGCACAATTCTATATAGATTATATCAACTTGCGCTACCGTGTATTTCGGAGTCTTAACGTAGTCTGATTATCATGTGTGTTAGGATAAATACAACACAATTTATATCTGACAACTGAGTTCGAGTTCACTGATATCATAACAGAACCTCGGGTCATCTGACAAGTCAACTAAATCATCGATACTGATATATTGGTATGGACATAGTAGGGACGTTCTGACGATGTAACACAGTAAATAACCTTCAGAAACTTATGGCTGCTACTTAATAACTGCAACCGTAAAGGTTCGGGTGGAAATACATAGTAAAATAGGGAACCCAACTTGACTAATAACTACAAAAACAATGGCAGCAGTTGTATAAACATAGGTACATAGAATTGTACTTCGATATAAATATGAGTATGGATTTTGGCAAAAGATTGGTATAAATATACACACACTTTTGAAGGCTCAGATGCACCCCTCTACCCAGTTTTAGGCGAGGTGCCTGCTGGAGTGACCGACTGGGATGAACACTTCACGTATTCGATTCCAACGCGCAAGTTCCTCACGAGGATATTACCACTGTTATTAGTGATGAAATTTTAATTGATATTACTACTTTTACCAGGTTTTCTTGTTTTGAAATTTGCATCCTCAATCACTATCAATCGGGCTCACAGTAGTGTGATCTATTATTTCTTGGTTATTAAGACTTTCGACATAACCCCGTCTAAATTCAATAATTCGACCTTGCCCTAAATTGCGTTATCAAGATACGTTTTGTGTATTTTTGTCTTGATCTTTGGAACTATATAAATTTATTATGCAGTCAGAAAATACTGGATGCTGAACAAGCTGTATTATGAGTTTCTAGGCATGCATTTCTTGTGTTAGAATAGTTTAAAGTCTGTGTGTGTGTATATGGAATCACGTTTTAATCCAAACATAGCGCAACTATACAAACAGCTAAACCAATGTTGTCGTTACAATGATAGTAAGACGTGTGCGCGCGTATCACCTCATACACGGTGCAGAGGATGCCCCATTCAGAAATTTCATTTCTTTCTTCCTATTGTGACATTTAAGTGATCGAGTAATGTTTCCAAATCTGTAGACAAGATATATTATTCATAATGATTTAAATCAAGCAATGCCATGCAAAGTGTCATACCTATAAGACATGA